AGCTTCAGTTGTGCAAGAGAGTGCTAGTCTTAGATGGTTTTTCAAAAATGAAAAGTCATAATAGAATAACAGCATGCTCTTAGTCTGTGACATAATCCTGCATAATCCTATCAATGGGAGTGGGGGAGTGAAAGGGAGCAAGCAATGTGAATTGTAATGTGTGGCTCAAACTCCATGCCTCTCATATTTGTGTATGATATTGCAATACAGGTCAAAAGGATGGACCTGGTGTCATGATGTACCTTTCATAATTTTGGCATTATCATGGTTAGAGACAGAGAACTACCTGAATAGCAATAGCAATAGACTTATATAACGCTTCACAGTGCTTTTACAGCCACTCTCTAAGCGGTTTACAGAGACATTACACATTCTTTTTATAAATTCTAGATTAATACAAATTTTAACACTAAAAAAAAACCAAGTATAGGTTTCCCCCCTTTTACTCTTTTGAGTGTGACACCTCAATGATTAAAATATACTTGGTGACTTGGTTTTTATTTTGGAAGATCCTCTAGGAACAGCTTTAAAGCTACTGGAAAAGATAGAGATTTATGGTGAGATGGCTGGCTTGAAAATAAACAAAGATAAAACAAAGATCTTGACAAAGAATATGTTACTAAAACAAAGAGATGAATTGGCAGATTTATTGAAAATTCAAGTTACGAATAAGGTTAAATATCTGGGGATATATTTGACGTCAAGATGTACTACATTGAAAGAGAATAACTATATTAAACTTAAACAACAGATAGCATTTGATTTGAAAAAATGGGAAAATCTACAACTGTCATTGATAGGTAGAATCTCAAGAATCAAGATGAATATCTTACCCAGAATTTTATATTTATTCCAAACTATACCAATTAGGCTTGGTAAAGATTACTTTGAAGAATTAAATAAAATTGTGTTGAAGTTTATATGGCAAGGTAAGAAAGCCAGAATAAAATTAAAACTTCTGCAAGATGCTAGAATTAGAGGAGGTTTTGGCCTTCCGAATTGGGAGTTGTATTACCAAGCGGCAAATTTAATGTGGGTTAAGGATTGGATAACATTAAAAAAGACTAGATTGTTGACACTAGAGGGGCATGATTTATTACTGGGATGGCATGCTTTTCTGTGGTATAAGGGAACTAAATCGCAGGGCTATTTTAGAAGGCATTATTATATAAGGGAGTCTTTATGGTTGAATTGGGAGAAAAATAAGAGAAAATGTTATTTGAAAATCCCAGTCTGGTTATCAACTATTGAAGCCTTTTCTTATCCTATAATATATGAGAAGGAACAAACAGTTAGATATGGGGAAATATTGGATGAAAAGAGTGAACTTAAAACAATGCAAAAACTAGAAGAACAAGGCATAAAGATGAATTGGTTTTCATATGCGCAAATACATTCAAGGTATCTTACAGATTCTAAAGCGGAGGGATTTTATGATAAATTGACTGATTTAGACAGGATCTTGACAGGTACTGATGAAAAAATGATTAAAAAATTATACACTTATTTGTTGGAAATTTTATTAGAGGAGGAACAAGTTAAAGAAACGATGATTGTTTGGGGGAAAAATTTTGGATATGGGATTGATTTGGAGAAATGGGAAAAATTGTGGTCTCAAAATTATAAAATGACAATGTCAACAGCTTTTAAAGAAAACTTGTATAAGATGTTTTACAGGTGGCATTTTCCCCCGACCAGAATTGCAAGAATGTTTAAGAACAAATCTGAAAAATGTTGGAAATGTCATCAGATACCTGGCTCATACTACCATATGTGGTGGACTTGTGAGGACGCTAGAAAATATTGGACTAAAATTCGCATATGGTTGGAAAAAATGACAAAGACACATATAGACTTGAAACCAGAGATATTTTTATTGGGAATCTTACCTGATATATATAATAAAAATTTGAAGTATTTGATTGTAAATATATTAACAGCGGCTAGGATTGTATTTGCTAAGAACTGGAAGAGTGAGAAAACTCCATCAGAAGAAGAAATTATTAAGAAAATATTGGATTGTGCTGAAATGAGTAAATTGACATTTGAAATCCGAGAACAAGAAGATAAACAATTTTATGAAGTTTGGGATCTTTTTTATCAATGGTTAGATAATAAAACATAATGATAGAATATTCAGATTTAGCATATAAAAAAATTTTTTTTCTTGATATTATCTTTATAAAACATTATCAAGGTAGATTTGGTATGATCTTATGATTTATTGCAAAATAAATTAAGCAAATTATAGTTATCTCGTTAAAATATGAATTAACAAAATTATAAATGTTTTTTTTTTAGTGATGATATTAGGTTATAAAATTATTGATTGATAATATGAGCTATTATGTAATATAATTATACTAGTGACTAGGAAATGGATGCACAAAAAAAAGTGGTAAACCAATCGATGCACTGTATGTAAATTTATGAAGAAGGATATTTTTATGTTTTTTGTGTTATGTTTATGTTTATTTTGTTATGTATGCTTATGCTTGTTATTAAAAAATAAAATAATTTTTTATTTAAAATATACTTTTATTCCCTCATCTTGATTCCCAATAAACTATTATTTTTAAGAAGTTACAATAATAATCATTACATCTTTTCATTTGGATTCCGCAGCATATTTTCCCCCCTTGATTTTTAGTAAGAGTTATCAGTATCTATATTACCCTATTTTCTAAATATTTTTAATTGCAGAAATATTCTTATTACCCCTTGTCACCCTGCAGAATCCCCTTTTTAATTCATCAACCATTTACCTCTGAAGAAACAATTTCTTTTCAGCATTTTACTATTTCCGTATTTCTTTATTTATGCACCTGTTTCTTACTGCTTCTCCTCCCCCTCTTTTCCCCACATCTTTTCTCATTCCAGTTTATATCCCTCTCTTTCTTAATATCTTTCTTTCCCCTTTTCTGCTGGGTCTTTCTGCCTTTCCTGACTTCATAGGTATTCCCCCTTTTGATTGCCTTCTTAAATTTCAACTTTTTAACCTTCCTTCTTTCCCACTTCTTTGTAGTGTTCTTTGTGTTAATTGTCTATTTAAAATGTCTTCTCCTTGAGTCGACTCCTCCTCCTCTGAAGCTCTTTCTTCTTGTTCTTCAATCGCCATTTCCATTTTTTCTAACACAGAGCAAAGTGATTCGCCTCTTTCCTATAGTAATTATCTCATATTTTTAAGTTCCATTTTTAATTCCCGAAGAGATATCATCATTACACACTCTTGTATTTTATGATCGTTAAAGTCCACAAAAAAACGCTTTTACTTTCCTTCTTTCTTCTTTCAATTTTCTAAAGTTCTCAGTTATTCCAGCCGAGGGTCTATACCAAAAACATCAATCAATCCCACAGTCAGTCTTTCCTTGCTTTTTTCTTTATTCTGGTTCTGCTTTCACTTTCTAAGATTCTTACTTTGTTTCAATATTTCTTTAATGTTATATCCACACAAGTTCATTCAGAAACAGGATGCTTTCCCTTTTGTTTGAGCTCAAATTTTTGTCAAAAGGTGGCACTCTCCATTAAACAAAGTCTTCACCTTTTCCCCCTATTTTTTTATTTAGGGTTTTTCAAACCTCGATATTCCAGCATAGTCCAGTCTCCAATTTGTAAACTTTATTATTATTATTTTTTGACAATCTTAAGTCCAGCTTTATTTTATGCCTGTTTATTCCCAAAATATTTTAGTCCAATTTAGTTAAACCTTTAGTTCCAGCTTCTTTCTTTCCCGGTTCAAAGCCCCACTTAGCTGTCAAAAATATTGTCTTATTTTTTTTCCTGTCCCTTTGTAATTTCGCCACTCACTTTTCTTTTCTTAAAAATTCCTTGTTACCTTAATCCCGGGGTACTTTTGTTTAGTTGTCTTGCCCAGTTGTCCCGGTTCAGAAGTTATCCACCTCTTTCTTCCTTCCTGCACAAAGCTTAATCCAGCTGAGTCCTCCTCTTCGGGGTGGCCATTTTAAACCATTGCTGTAGTCCTCTTCGGGGAGGAAAAAGACCAAGCCTGGGGGGGGAGATGCAGCTCCCCTCAACCTGGCTTGTTGCTTCCCCTTACTCCGCCGCCCCTCCAAGGCAGCTTCAGCTCCTAATCGTAATAATCGGGGCTCTTCAATGAAAGAGCACGGACCATAGCTGCAGAGAGTCGCGATCTACGGTCCGTCAGCGAGGAAGCTCCGCCTTCTTCCCCCACACTTACAACCATTGTAGCATCCACATGGTCACATGATCAAAATTCAGATGCTTGGCAAGTGGTTCTTATTTATGACAGCTGTGATGCTGTCCTGGGGTCATGTGATCAGCTTTTGGGACTTTTTGACAAGCAGAGTCAGTGAGGAATCCAGAATCACTTAACAACCATGTTACTAACTTAACAAATGCAATGATTCACTTAACAAAGGCAATGATTCACTTGACAAATGCAATGACTCACTTAACAAATGCAATGATTCATTTAACAAAGGCAATGATTCACTTAACAACTGTGGCAAAGAAAGTTGTTAACATGGGGCAAACTCACTTAACAAATGTTTCACTTAGCAACATAAATTTTGGGCTTAATTGTGGTCGTAACTCAAAGACTACCTGTATCAATACTGGGCTATATAGGTAAATTGATAATCTGATACAGTGTAGAGTAATTTCCAAGGGCAGTGCATTTAATTTGCACCCAGTTTGGGATGTTGAATGTTACAATTATGAATGAGAATAATCATGAATAAAGAGTCAATAATGAATAGAAGAATGACGTCAAACTACAGGAAAGTTGATTCAAGACAGATATTAGAGTGAATTTTCTGGTGGCAAGTATTGTTCAATCAGTAGAACCAGTTGCCAAATGAGACAGCATACTTCTTTACTGAACTGTTCAAATAGAGGCTTTAGCAGATTTTGGCACTAATTGCGCTAAAGACTTACGGGGTTACTTTCAACTCTGATTCTACAATAATATATAGACTGAATAATATATTAGCCATTAGACCTTCTACCTGGAGGGCATGATGGGTCAGCAGCAGTTAAAGACACTGGGTTTGTTAGCTGAAAAGCGGGCAGCTTGGGTTCGAGACCCAAGCACTGCATGACCGCATGAGCTCCTGTTCCTCCCTTAGTTCCTGCCCACCTAGTAGTTCGAAAGCATACAAATGCAAGTAGATAAATAGGTACCACTTCAGTGGGAAGGTAACAGCATTCCTTTCCCCATTGTCATATTTATCACATGACCACTGTTGGTGGTTGGGGACAAACCCCCAAGCAGAGTGTACAGCAGCAGTCAAGCCAGGCAGCCAAATGAGAGAGAGACTGGGCCCAAGAGTATACACACACTGGAGACAAAAACACTGTTTGTAGTTTTAAATAGTTATTTAATTCACACAGAGGTTAAGAAGTGTCATTCAGTCCATATGTCATTATCCAGTATATCCATCCAGTTACCTAGTCCATTAACAGTAAATACAATGTCTTTATCTGCTTGTAAATCTTCTCCTCCCGATACCTTTCTCTCAAAGACAACGCTGAGTATGCACAGCTCACCAAGTAAACAGTCCTTTTGTTCAGTAGAAAAAAGGTATCTTGCACAGTAGCCAACAAGCAGACGTCTCATACAGGAGTAAAACAGCAGGCAGCAGATAGCAGAGAGACCAGTAGACCAGCGACCAGTAACACCAGGAACCAGGAACCAGCAACCAGAGACCAGGAATCAGACCAATAACCAGGAAGTGTTACGTCTCTCTCACTGCCTATTATTGCAGCTTGCAACCGCACCCTTAATTATCACATTACATTGCAGTTTTTGTGCTTAAAGCTACAAACACTTAAACCTAGGTTTATATATTTATTCACCCAAACTAGTTGGTGTATGCATATACCCAACA